TTAAAGGCGTGTGTCACCACTCTTGGCTGTGTCCTTGACCACACAAAGACTCTGCCTGCCATGTGATCGGGATTAAGGGCGTGTGCATCCACCACCTGACTTCTGTTTTATGGCTTGCTATGACCTCTGATCTCCAGTCAAACTTTATTTATTAACATACAAATAAAATCACATTTCAGCACAATTAAAATATCACCATACCATTTCTTTCAGATTTTCCAATTTTGTGGAGTACAGCTTTTTGAAGTATGACCTGATGATTATCTGAATTTCCTCATTGTCTGTTGTTATGTCTCCTTTTTCATTTCTGATTTTGTTAATTTGGATATTCTTTCTCTGCTTTTTGGTTAATTTGGATAAGGGCTTGTCTATCCTGTTGATTTTCTCAAAGAACCAACTCTTTGTTTTATTGATTCTTTGTATTGTTCTCTTTGTTTCTATTTCATTGTTTTCAGCCCTCAATTTGATTATTTCTTGGCATTTTTTTGTTCTAGAGCTTTCAGGTGTGTTGTTAAGTCACTAGTGTGAGATTTCTCCATCTTCTTTATGTGGGTATTTAGTGCTATGAATTTTTCTCTTAGCACTGCTTTCATAGTGTCCCATAAGTTTGGTACGTTGTACTTTCATTTTCATTGAATTCTAGGAAATCTTTCTTTTTTTATTTCTTCCTTGACCCCTCGGTGATTCATTTGGGCATTGTTCAGTTTCTATGAGATCGTAGGCTTTCTGTAACTTTTGTTGTTGTTGAAATCTAACTTTAAGCCATGGTGGTCCGATAAAATACAGGAGGTTATTCCAATTTTTTTGTATCTGTTGAGATTTGCTTTGTGACCAAGCATGTGATCAATTTTAGAGAAGGTTCCATGGGGTGCTGAGAAGGAGGTATATTCTTTTGTGTTAGGGTGGAATGTTCTGTAGATATCTATTAAGTCCATTTGAGTTATAACTTCTGTTAGTTCCCTTATTTCTCTGTTAACTTTCAGTCTGGCAAATCTATCCAGTGGTGAGAGTGGGGTGTTGAAATCTCCCATTACTAGTGTGTGGGGTTTGATGTGTGATTTAAGCTTTAGTAATGTTTTTTTTTTACAAATGTGAGTGCCCTTGTATTTGGGGCATAAATGTTCAGAATTGAGACTTCATCTTGGTGGATTTTCCCTGTGATAAGTATGTAATGCCCTTCCCGATCTCTTTTGATTGATTTTAGTTTGAAGTCTATTTTATTAGATATTAGGATAGCTACACCAGCTTGCTTCTTAAGTCTGTTTGATGGGAAAGTCTTTTCCCTGCCTTTTACTCTGAGGTTGTGTCTGTCTTTAAAGTTGAGGTGTGTTTCTTGTATGCAGCAGAAGGATGGATCCTGTTTTCATATCCATTCTGTCAGCCTGTTTCTTTTTATAGGCAAATTGAGACCATTGATATTAATGGATAGTAATGACCAGTGATTGTCAATGCCTATTATTTTTTTGTTGGTAGTGTTGTGTGTTTCTCTTCTTTGGTATTTGTTGGTGTGGGATTATCTATTACCTGTATTTTCATGGGTGTACCTAACTTCCTTAGGTTGGATTTTTCCTTCTATTGCTTTCTGTAGGGCTGGATTTGTGGAGAGATATTGTTTAAATCTGGTTTTATCATGGAATACTTTTTTTTTTTTACTCCATCTATGGCGATTGAGAGTTTTTCTGGATATAATAGTTTTTTGTTTTTTTTGTTTTTTTTGTTTTGTTTTTCGAGACAGGGTTTCTCTGTGTAGCTTTGCACCTTTCCTGGAACTCACTTGGTAGCCCAGGCTGGCTTTGAACTCACAGAGATCCGCCTGGCTCTGCCTCCCGAGTGCTGGGATTAAAGGTGTGCGCCACCACCGCCCGGCTGGATATAATAGTTTAGGTTGGCATCTGTGGTCTCTTAGTGTCTGCATAACGTCTGTCTAGGAACTTCTGACTTTCAGAGTCTCCATTGAGAGTCAGGTGTTATTCTGATGGGTCTGCCTTTGTATGTTACTTGGCCTTTTTCCTTTGCAGCTCTTACTATTTTTTCTTTATTCTGTATGTTTATGTGGCGAAGGGTCCTTTTTTTTGATCCAGTCTTTTTGGTGTTCTGTAAGCTTCTTATACTTTCATAGGCATTTCCTTCTTTTTTTTGGGGGGGGGGGGTTCGAGACAGGGTTTCTGTGTAGCTTTGGAGCCTGCCCTGGACTAGCTCTGTAGACCAGGCTAGCCTCGAACTCACAGAGATCCGCCCACTTTTGCCTCCCAAGTGCTGGGATTACAGGCGTGCGCCACTACCGCCCGGCTGGCATTTCCTTCTTTAAGTTAGGAAAGTTTTCTTCTATGATTTTGTTGAATATATTTTCTGTGCCTTTGAGTTGGTATTCTTCTCCTTCTATCGCTATTATTCTTAGGTTTGGTCTTTTCATGGTGTCCCAAATTTCCTGGACATTTTGTGTTATGACTTTTTTGGCTTTAGTGTTTTCTTTGACTGACGAATCTATTTCCTCTGTTGTATCTTCAACGCCAGAGATTCTTTCTTCCATCTCTTGCATTCTGTTCATTATGCTTGCATCTGTAGTTCCTGTTCCTTTATTCAGATTTTCCATTTCCAGCCTTCCTTCAGTTTGTGTCTTCTTTATTGCCTCTATTTCAGTTTTCAAATCTTGGACTTTTTCATTCACCTGTTTAATTGCTATTTCTTGGTTTTCTTTAAGACATTTATTGATTTCTTTCAATGTTTTGTTTGTCTTTTCTTCGAATTCTTTAAGGGTATTTTTCATTTCCTCTTTAAAGGCTTCTATCATCTTCTTCAAGTCATTTTAAAGGTCTATTTCTTCTGCTTTGGGATATTCAGGTCTTACTGGTGTGGCACCACTAGGTTCTGGTGGTACCATATTGGTCTTTATGTTGTTGACTGTGTTTTTGCACTGGCGTCTACCCGTCTCTTCCTCCACTCCGTGCAAGTGCTGTCTGTGTCTGAGGGAGCCTCTTTTGTCTGATTGATACTCTTGGTCTAATGCGAGCTCTTGGTCTAATCTGGGCTCTTGGTCCACTTGGTGCTGATGGGTTCTGTGTCTCAGGGAGCAGCTCTTAGTACAATGGGCACCAGTGGGCTCTGTCTCAGGGAGCGGCTATTCCCAGTCAGTACAGGATAGGATCTGTTTTCTGTTCCCAATTGGTGCAGGGTGGGCTTATGTCTCTGGTTTTCACTGGTGTCACAGAGGGCTGTTTTTTTGGTGAGGGGGCGGGGGAAGGGGCAGCTAGCTGGTCCCTGGGGCTCCAATGGCTTGGGGGAGGGACACAGAATGTGCCCCCGGGGCCTAGGGGCTAGGGACCTGGTCTGCCCAGTCCGGAGATGGGGCCTTACCTGTTCCCAATCAGTGCAGGGTGGGCTTTGGGATTTCTTATCCGGACCCTGCAGCCCTCTCCTTCCTGGTTGTGCCCCTCACAGGATTAGTCCCCTCCCTGCATCACTTAGCATCTGTAACACCCTCAAGATCTGATGCTCTTTCCATTGTTTTCTCCCCTCATGTGGTGAGTGATTAGCTTTTCCAAGACCAGAAGGGTGGTGCAATAGCCAGGCCTCTGCCTCATGTCCACCTCTGAATGCAACACATAGCTAGGAAGTCCCTAGAGATGCCCATGTGTGACCAGGGTGACACAGTGGAAAAGACGGCATTTCAGTCCAGGTCCCCTGTCATAGTGACACTCCTGGCCAACATGTATGGAATGTCCACCTGTGGGTGGTCCACATGCAGTGGCTCATTTTGTCATTATTAAGGCACATAAGTCAGGGGAGTTTCCATCTCTGGTTTAGGATGAGGACATGGGGGTAAGTGACCTGCCCAGGGTGATATAGGCTGTGGGGCCAGGGTCAGGAACTGAACTCTCAGTGAGTTGAGTTTCTGAACAGGTGAGCAAGACTGACCAGAGTTCTGGTGAAAGCCAGTGGAGGCATTCCAGTGCACTGTGACCCCTGGTGAATCCCAGCTCTATGCCCATGTGTGCAGTGGAGATAAGATGACATGCTGGAGAATTCTAGATAGATTTTCTAACTCTCCATGCCCAGTGGTCTTTTTCCATGCCTAGGTAGGCCAGAGGACAGGTCCTTGGCATGTAGAATTTTTTCATGGGCCAATCCTCCAGTGGGAGGCATGGGCTGGCCACCCAGACCCTCTTTCACCGAGTGCCAGCATTGTCTTTCTCTGTGTGACCCTGCAAAAGAGCCTCTGTACGTTTCTGGGTTTCCCTTGGGGAGCCCTTGTCTTCGGCTGGTCCAGTAGTCACCTCTAAAGACTCTCTGAGGGTCCCTTTTTCAGGCCATTGCTTTGGGTCCTATCACCTCTCTCCTCCCCTTTCTCGTCTCGTCTCCTTGGCATCGGCCAGCTGCAGATTTGACATTGACTGGTATGGGTGGGAGCCGAAGAAGGAGACAGCTTCTTTGAGGGCCATGTACTGTGCTGGGAGCTTTAGAAGTGGGCCTGTTAGCACGTAGCTTGGTAGAACACGTCTCGCTCCTGGCTTACTGGAGGCTGAGGTCAGGGGATCTTAAATTTGAGTTCCTGTTTCAAAAAAAGAGAAATGAAAAAAAAAAAAAAAGTAGGTGGTGTTAATTGAGCTGGTTCTTTCCACACAGAATAGATGTCTGTTCCTCACATTCCTTCAAAGATCCACTACATTGTGATTTCATCTAGCCTTGGGCTAAAGACTTCCTTCACAACTCAGTGAGCTCTTACCTTACTCCTAGGAGGCAGAGCTGTGCTTTTTTCTTAATCTACAACCTAAGACAGGGACTCAATGGAGAGACATGGGCAGTACAGCCAGGAAGCAGCAGAGCTAGGCTTTGGTCCAAACTCTCTCACCCTGAATTCACTTTTGGGGGAAAATAGAGTTGTTGGAGTGTCAAGATTGATGTGTGGCCTCTGGGAGAGGGACAGCTGTGATGTCCAGGGCTGAGGAGCTCCTTGGAAACCTCCTTGGAGGTCAGCCTTGGGTCTGGTGCTTGTCTTTTAGGCTAACACTAACACAGACCTGAGGCTGGTGGCCGTCAATGGAGCCCTTCTGAGACACCGGGTGCTGCTGGGGGTGACAGACACAGTGGAAGGCTGCCAGAGTGTGATCCAGGTACTGTGTCTCAGAGTGACCTCTCCTGGTGGCCTGCATGTGAGGTCCAGTGTCTGCTGTGCCGCTGTGAGTGCTCCCCCCCACCCCCCACCCCCAGTTCCCGTGTCTTCCTCAGGACTCCTCTGTGCTGAACCCTGCGATTGGGTACTGTAAGAATGAAGGTCCCTGCAGAGTCCCTGTCCAGTATGAGCCGCATACCCGTGAGGATGACAGGCATATAGTCACAGTGGCTTTAAAGGGACAGTGAAAGCTTATGGTGGTCCAGGGCTGTAGCCAAGTGACGTTGCAGGAGAGATGAGGCTGAAGAGCCTGGGTGATGCTCAGTAGGGAGATTTTAAGTAGGAAGTCACTCATGGGGCATGGCTGAGGCTGGATTCGATCCTGGCTACCTCTGCTCAGTGCTCAGTGATTAGTGCAGTTGTGTATTTTATCTTTAATCCTGGTGAGATCTCACCTCCCTTTTTGTGGGGCAGGGGTACACTTTATTATTAGTCTACAACAGAAGATAGCAAGACCTGGGGAAGGGCCACAACCTGCATGGCTCGGAAGCAGAGCTGGGGTTCAGCTCAGGCTTCCTTGGTATACATATGCCTCACTGACCACAGCCCTTTGCTTCAGGGAAACCCAGGGATGCCCAGAGTGTGTGTGCACTGAGAACCTAGGAGGTGTGCCTTCTACATATCTGGCAGATGTTTGCTGAGAGCTTCCACATGCCAGACACTGTTCTCTGGGGCTGAGGACACACAGGCCCTAGTTTTGTGGAGCTGATCACACCTGGGATAGTGTGGCATGTAAAGTTATCTTGCCTGGGATATTGGTACAAGATTCCTGGCAGTTCAAATGGCACATTTGCATCTCTGGAGTCTTCAGCTCCTTCCTAACTTCATTCGTTTCCAAGTCTTCTCTATCAGTTGACATGCAGCAGGGACCCTGGAGTGTGGTTGAATCTGTGACTATTCAGATAACCAATGAAGGGACACATCTTTTCAGACAGGGCTTCTTTCAGCTTCACAATGGCATCTTGGAATGAGATGATGCAATGTCTGGAGGTCTTTCAGAATCCTCAGGGGTGCTGGGTAATGTGATGGGCAAGGAGAGAGGTGACAGTCAACTGGGGTGGGCATGAAGTGAGTTGTTACAGCAGGATGATGGAGATTTCTCATCTCCTGTGTATATTTGAGATTTTTTTCAAAGTAAAAAGACTTTTAAAAAGGGTATGTGGACAGATCATTGTAGGGGGTGAGCTGGCTGGAGAGACTGTCTGGCAAGGGCTGTGACTTTTGTTCTCATGGATTAGTTGCCCTGAGCAGGGAGCAAGGTAGTTGATACAGATGTTAGACTCAGGATTCTACTTTTCTACAGAACTTGATTCTCATGTATGTGGCACCATCAAGGCATCTCAGTGAGTATAGACGGTTTTGGCCCAGTAAGGATAACCTGGCCTGGGGGCTGCTGAAGCTGAGGTAGAAGGAGAGGTTGGGGGTACCAACCAAGATGTCTTTCTTACCTGCACCCCTTCCATTGAGAACACTTGAATTTGGCCCTGGTTGGTGGAGATGTCATTTGTGAGGGCTTTTCTCCTTTGTATATTTGGGTTTTAGACAGAATGGTACCCATACTACTGAAGGTGAAGATGCTATTCCACTGCCTCAATGGACATGATGGCCAAGGGAGTTTGGAATCTATCTGGCATGCTCTGTGGGAGATGGGGCCTTGCCATTTTGTTCATGGTTGGACATATTCTGAATTTGCTTGCAAAGCCATTTTTTTGCAGGAGGTGTGGGGGTGGGGGGCGTTTACCATGTAGCTTAGTGATAGTGTGCCCACGTAGCATTCTATCTTGGGTTTGATTCCCAGTACCACCATTTTTACCCCTGCCAGCTATACACATGAGCTGCAGTCACACTGTTCCTGCCAGACAGCAGGCCATGTCAGGTGCTTGTCAAAAGGACAGGCCCTGGATGAAGAGCAGGAGCTGGAGGATAAACTCAGGGTTAGAAGTTGAAGGTCAGGCCACTGCTGCTTCTCTCCACAGCTCTGGTTTGTCTACTTTGACCTGGAGAACTGTGTGCAGTTTTTGTCTGATCATGTTCAAGAAATGAAGAGGAGCCAAGAGGTAAGATGGCCAGCCCCTTTCCTGGGATCTCAGCACCCTGAGGTCAGGATTGCCGTGGGACCCTGCTCCTGGCTGGCTAGAACCTGGGCAGGCCGGGTTTGAACCCTGGTTTGTTCACTTGCAGTGCATGGATAGATACTCCTATCACAGGCTGTGATGAGCAAATGTAAGCAGGGCAAGCAGAGGCCTTCAACAGCAGCCCAGGACCCTGCTTTTGTGGGGAATAGTGTGATCTCCTTGTGTGGCTCACTGAGGTCAGCTGTCTGGCTCTCTAGCTGGTTCCACGCCTTCAAAGCCTGCCAGACTCAGAATACACCTGTGTCCCCTTTGTTTCCTTCATAGTCCTTGCTGAGAAGCAGATTAAGCCAGCTATGTGTTGTCATGGAGACGGGAGTGAGCCCTGTGGTGGAAGGGCCTGAGGACTTGGAGGATGCCCCCCTCCTGCCCAGCACTCCTGGTCCTCAGGAGAGACCACTCATGCAGACTGAACTCTATCAGCTTGTTCCGGAGGCTGAGCCGGAGGTAATGGTGCCGCAGCAGTTGGTGAGGTCCTCCCTTGAGGGCCCATGTGTGATCATGGTCCAAGTCATGGCTCAAGTTTTAGGTCTTGGGGTTATAGTTTCTCTGAGTTGCTAGAGACCATCCAAACCTTGTAGGTCAAAGCTGTCTTTACATTCTTTTGTTCATTCCAACACATAGTTTTGTTTATTCTGACACTCTTCTTTTTTGAGACAGAGTTTTGCTATGTAGCCCAGATTGGCATACCCATAAACCTCCCAGCTGCTGGGATGGCAGGCTTCATCTTTATACCAGTACTTTAAAGCATAGTTTATGGGAATCAACTTTGCACTTCCTGGGACTTTTGGTTACATGTTTAAATATCTTGGCCATCCTTTTGGATAGCTACACTGCAGGAACCGTTGCATGTTGATGGGTAATAACTTGTCATCATTTGGGTGAATATTGATCTTTTAAAATCTGTTACTGAACTTGCTATGGTAATACAGACCTGTAATGCTGACACTCAAGAGGTGGAAGTAGGAGAATTGCAGGTCTAAGACCAGTCTGGACTATACAGGGAGACCCTGTCTCAAAGAAAAAGATTGTGTTGATCAGTTGATCAATCACACGTTCATGTAACTGTCCATCCCATCATCACCCATCCATCCATCTGTCTATCATCATCCATCCATCCATCCACTCATTATCATCCATCCATCCATTCATCTATCTGTTCATCCATTCTCCATCCAATTCACCCATTATCATCCATCCATTCATTCGTCTATCCATCCATCCATCTGTCCATTTCCATTATCTATCATCATCTCTCAATCATGCACCTACCCACCTACTTAAATCCTAGTCACTATTTGGAGCTGCTTTGTGAATCCTTTCAGTTCTGACTCCATCACCCCCAGAACCCTGCTAGGTTCTGTTCTTGGGCTGTGTGTGGGGTCTGGTTCCTTGCTGGCACACATGTGAACTGTGGACAGACCCAAGTGGTAGGAATGACCTTAGTGGCATTTGGAGCTTTGTCGATCACTTGCATTTGCCTTTCATTCTGGGGATTTAGAGAATCAAGGTCCAGCCCAACCTAGCCTTCCTCCTTTGCATTGATGAGATTCCGGGGCTCCCCAGGAGGAGTATTTAAGAGAGAAAATGATGACTGTGTTTGTTTTTCACTTTTTTTTTTTCAGAGCAGAAAGGACTGGTAAGGTCACATGCTTTATTCAAGGGGCTTGTTTGTCCGGGTTGGCATGCCATAACCCATAAATTTGGGCCTTTCAAGTTATTCTTTCAAATTTGATCAAACCCATGGAAACACAGTCTCCTGTCATGAATGTCAAGTGTGTGTATGCATGGTTTGAAAGTAGCTTATCAGTTAGCTAGGGAAAATATAGCCTCTACCCAGGTCTCAATGGGCAGCTAGACTACCCTGTGTCTGGAAGAGCCAAAGTCTGTGACAGATGGAGAGTCAGAACATCCTCTCACATTTTTAAAGATTTTTTTTTCCTGCAAAGAATTTGTCAGCACATCCTGAGGTCTGTATGACCTTTCCTACTTTGGTAGACAGAGTGAGACTAGCCCGGGTTCTCAGAATGAGGAGAAAGCAGGAGAGGGCAGAAGCCTCCTGCAGAGTCCAGTACACTAGTCTGGCTGTAGATCATTGGTTCTTACAATATTGATCTTGGGCTGAATTGGTGAGGCCAGTCTGTAGCTGGAGTTTTTCTCTAGTCCTGCCTGGCTCACGGTCAGGACAAATCTCTCACACCCGCCAGTTCCACAGCTGCTCAAACCCAACTGAGTAAACACACAGAGACTTATATTACTTTATAAACTGTATGGCTGTGGCAGGCTTCTTGCTAACTAGTTCTTATATCTTAAATTAATCCATTTCTATTAGTCTATAAGTTGCCACGTGGCTTGTGGCTTACCGGTACTTTACATCTCGCTTGTCATGGCGACGGCTGGCAGTGTCTCTCTGCCTCAGCCTTCCACCTCCCAGAATTCTCCTCTCTCCTTGTCCTGCCTATACTTCCTGCCTGGCTACTGGCCAATCAGTGTTTTATTTATTAATCAGAGCAACACATTTAACATACAGAACATCCCACAGCACCAGTCTGAGCTGGTGAAAGGCACATTATTTGCCTTTTCAATATCCTCCAGCCTAGCATATAAGACAGCTTAAGAAAAAGCCAGTCCTAGGGGCCATTTGGAATGAATTGCTTCTCATCCAGGACCAAATTAGGATATTTTTATGATTTTTTTTCATATTGCTTTGAGTCAGAGTCTCATTCTTTAGCCCAGCCTGGCCTTGAATCATAGCAATCCATTTCCCTTAGCCTCCAAATGCTGAGATTACAGGGGTGAGCCTGGCTGCTTCTTAATATTGGTGATGGATCCTGTGACATTTACTGAGCTGGACTGAGTACTTTGTGTTCCTGCGGCCTCATCCCACTTCACCACAGCACACATTACCAGTGAAGACAATGCCTGTCAGGCAGGGACTTGCACGGTGAGCTGAAGGGTGTAGGAAGTAGAGTTCCTGTGTGTCCTTGATCTCAGCACCAGTTTTTAATTATTAGCTCCACACATGCAGCCTCTCTGGACCCCACCCCTGATGTTCTTACATTTAGGTGGACACAAGTGAGGAATTTAAGCCTCTACCCTGCAATCCCAACTGGTCGACCAGTGAGTGAAACTTTAGAGACCACATGTGTTAAGAGATGCATGACATCCAGTTTGAAATGTCCTTCTTTATGCTTTGTTTCCTCATCTTGGTAAGATGCATGTGTTAGAGTTGCTGTCTTTGTTGTGTACCTTTTATTACCACCCCCCTTCAGAATGCTTCCTCTGTGAACCCCACACCCATCAAGTTCCCCTCTGCCTCCCACAGAACCTGGACCACTGTCTCCTTCATGTGCAGTATTGGTTCCTTTGTGGTATCAGTTTTCATAAGCAAACTGTTACTGTGTCTGGTAGAAAGATGTCTACCAGGCACCATATATGAACTAAAGGTCTCCTATCATTGACACTTCTCCCCATCCAGCCCCCATTAGTGATTTCCTTCAAGTGAGTTGGTCTGGACCTTACAGATTCATGGGGTTTAGAAAGTATAAAGAGTCTGGAGGTGGGGTGGGGTGATACTTCTCCAGTGCTCTGAGGTTGTAGATCTTCTGGGGGCATAATAACATCTTTGGAGCTTGGGATGGAACCCAGGGCATCAGGCATGCTAAGTGCAGGATTTGCTTCAGAGCAGAACCCTCTGTCCTTGTGTGTCTTGTTCATAAGGCTCCTTGGGGATAAAGCAGCCAGGGCCACAGCAGCCCCAGTGACTTGCAGAATGGGGGTTCTTGGCCAGACTGCATCTTCCAGGAGCCGCAGGCACTGGTGGCTTGTTCTTCCTGTTGAGCACCCCTGCTGGGTAGGGTGGCATGATGATTTGGGCTTCTCCTGTGCCTGAGCCCCGTCACCCTCGGGTCTGTCTCTGTGCTCATGTTGCTTCCCTGACTCTTGCAGGAGATGGCCCGGCAACTGCTGGCAGTGTTTGGTGGCTACTACACTCGGCTCCTGGTGACCTCTCAGCTCCCCCAGGCAATGGGAACTCGACACACAGACTCTGCAAGGGTCCCATGCCCCTGTCAGCTCATAGAAGCACACATTCTGGGCACAGGATGCTGCCCATTCCTGGCCAGGTGACCTAGGGACAAAGATGTTCATCTTCCTCCAAGACTGAGAAGTGGGGGAGGAGTCAGGAGCCTGGCATGGCTGACAGTGAGCTCAGATGAGATCAGCATTTGGGGACACTTTGGAGAGTGTCTGTCATGTTAGCCATGGGGTCATCAAGGGCACACCAGATGGCCACAGTTGTTGGCATCTTATGCTGCCCTGGCCTTGCTGAATCTGGTGGCTGAGCTGGAGTTGCCTGGGCCTGCATCCTGGGTAGAGGATCCCGTCTGTGGCCTGTGGAGCACCAGAGACCTGCAGCCGACTCTACAGGGCTCAGAGAGGACACTGCTCTCTCCGAATTGCCCCAGGCTGCTGATGTCATAAGTACACCCATTTCCAGTGTGAGAGAAGGTCTTGGAAGGCTGAACCAGCGTGTGAACTACAGTACTGTCTGGGCTTGTCTGTTAGCCCCTGGGCTGTAGACAACAGGGCTGCAGAACAGGGGTGACGAGACCAGGCTTGGTGACCATCAACAGGGGCACTTGGCAAAGAACACCCTGTGGGTGGGACTCAGACTGATTTTGTGTAGCAACATGCTGTCTTGTGATCGAAATTCTGTCCTGCAGAGCAACAGTGGTGTTTTCTGACATTCCACTGTTCTGGAATGAGGTGTGATCAGACACTCTGAGTTTGAATAAAGAGCTCAGCAACCTCCCCAAGAGCTTGAAGACTTCCCACAGCTCCATGTCCAAAGCCCTCGTCTGATATGAAGGTCCAGCTCCAAGATCCAGCCTTCGTGGTTTCTGTCCCCCACAAATCACCATTATAAGTTGGACCTCTTCCCTGAACTGGCAGACGTGTTCCTATTGGACTCTTATTCATGTTTCAAAATCCCTTCTGCTGCTTTCTGTCTCATTGAAATTCCTGATGGAGCTGTTCCTATTATTGATGTTTTATGTTATTCCATTTTTCTCCTGTACAAACCTCTTTTTCTATCGAAGACTGTAAACTCCTTAAGGTCCAACACTATATCCATCTTCCTTTTGTGAATGACCTAGACTTGCTTAGAACAAAATAATTCTGAAAAGTCCCGTGGATCGGTTGGTTGCCTTATCCTCTCCACCAGTTGTGGCAAATTGTTCTGCAAACGTGGTTGATGAGACCCAGGGCATGATGGACCAGAGTTCTGGTCTTGAGTTCTTTCACTTTATTTGTCCACCCTCCATGTGCTGCATGGTTCTGGTCATTTCCAGCTTATTGTGCTGTTTGTTATTCTTACCTCGGTGCACAAAGTGTTCCCTTGACCCCAGCCGAGGTGATATGACATCACGGGGTTCTGGCGAAGCTAGTAACCTGGGTTCTTGTTGCATATCTGCCAACTCTAGGGCTGCGTAGACATGGCTGGGTGCATTGCCTTCTCGGTGTGTCCACGGACTTCTTATGGCAGAGCCCTGTGGTGGCCTGAAATGGCAGAGCTCTGTGGTGGCCTGAAATGGCAGAGCTCTGTGGTGGCCTGAAATGGCACAGTGCAGCAGACTTTCTGGGTAAGACATATCCTACCTCTTTACTTTCTCTGTGTCCAAGATGGCGGAGTCCCCCAGCCACGTCCGGGGTAACTTTGCTTAGTGGAATTATTCACTGTGGGAAATGTCACTGAATTTGATCAAGGGAAACTGTGCTTGTCATCTGGTCACCGATCCCTTCGGTATAATGATGGTGAATAAAGCTGTGTTTGGTGAATGACTGAGTGACTCGGCTCATGGAAGCTTGGTGTGGTCCTTCCACATTCTCTCTAGAACTTCTGCCTCCCTGCTGGGTGGGGCATACGGGGTGAGCTCATGGTGGGCATTTGTGTGTGCCTCAGTTTCCTCTTTTGTAAAATCCATGTGTCTCACCTGCTTTACAAAGTTGCCATGATGAACCATCCAGCTGGAGCCTGCTCTTAGATTTTTTTTTTTAATATTTTAGTTTTAATCTTGTGCACCTGAGTGCTGGAATTAAACCCAGGTCCTCTGCAAGAATGGTCCACGCTCTTAACTGTTGAACTGTCTCTACAGCCCAGTGCCCCTAGGTCTTAAGGCTCTATGCCTACCAGAGGCGGGGGTCGTGGACACACTGCAATGCAGGTAGGAGCATTCAAAGCCAAGTCCACTCATCCTTCCTGCCTTTTGGTCTCTGTCCCAAAAGTCAGTTGAATGGGGAGGAGAGCTCCTGCCTGGTGGATGGTTGTGAAAATGAATAAAAACAACTTGGTGTGCAACACCAAGTCACAAGCTGGAGCAGGAACTCAATAACCTACTGTGGTCTCTTTTTTAAATTCTTGCTGTCTGGTACACAGTAGGGGCCTGTATGTGTTTAAGTCGACTCTTGTCTCACACCACAGGGGTATGCATGTGAATAAAGCCTTGTCAAGACTCAAGTTCAGTAAGGATGGTGTCATGGTGAAGGGAGGCTGGGAGCAAGCTGGTGACCCTGGGTCAGATGCTAGCTTGCTCTGTGCTTCTCACTTCCTCATGTCAGGACAGGGTTGTGTAATGACGGGACGACAGAGGTCTTGTCACATGCCACAAGGCCTGTTTCTTGGTGTGTCCGTCTGAGGACACACCAAGCCCCTGCCCCGAGGCTTCATTTCATTTCTTTGTGGCGCTGGGGCTGAAAGTCAGGCCTCTTGCGTGTAAGAATACGGAGCAATGTGCTGTCACTGAGCCACACCTCAGCTCTCAGTGGTGGCTTTTTTCTTCTCAGTAGCTGCTAGATGGTTTTGTACTTGAACATAAACACAAGTTTTTACCAGGTTGTTCAAATCTATCATTAATAATTTCAGTTAGTACCAGTAAGGGAAAAACTGCGGCCATGATTATAGATTTTACATTTCTTTTATTTCTACTTTTTCTAAAGTTAGGGTCTCTGTGGTGGTATTGTGTTCCCTGAAATATTGTGCATGCTAGTAAACTTATCTGAGGTCAGAGAAAAGAATAGCCACAATATTAAACATAGAGGATAGGCAGTGGTAGCACACACCTTTAATCCTAGCATTCCAGAGGCAGAGATCTACCTGGATCTCTGTGTGTTCAAGGATACAGCCAAGCATGGTGACTCACGCCTTTAATCCCAGAAAGTGATGGCAGAAAGCAGAAAGGTATATAAGGCATGAAGACCAGAAACTAGAAGCTTTTAGCTGGTTAAGCATTCAGGCTTTCGAGAAGCAGTTCAGCTGAGATTCATTTGGATGAGGATTCAGAGGCTTCCAGTCTGAGGAAACAGGATCAGCTGAGGAACTGGTGAGGTGAGGAAGCTGTGGCTTGTTCTGCTTCTCTGTAACTGAGAACTAGTCTTTCACTCTCTGTGTGGCTGAGATTGACCTTGAATTCCTAATCCTACCAAGACCTTCCAAATGCTGAGATGACCTGTGTGTGCAGTGCTGGGGTGGAACTCGGGGTCTTCTGCATGCTAGACAAGCACACTACCAACCGAGCTGCATCCCTACCTCTCTTTTGACTTCTGACAACATTGTGTGTATATGTATGTGTGAATGTGTGTATGTGGCGGGGTGCATGTGCCTGTGCACATGTATGTCAAACGGGGATGTCAGGTGTCCTCTGTCATTCTCTGCCGTATTCTCCTGAGCCTGGGTCTCTCACAGAACTTAGAGCTTGGCCAGCAAGTCCCAGCAATCCTCCTGCATCCCCCTTCTTATTGTGCTGTGCCTGGCTTTTTAAACATGGGTGCTGGCCCTATATGGTGGCTCACAACTATCTGTAACTCCAGTTCCAGAGGATCTGATATCCTCTTCTGGCCTCTGTGGGCGCCGGGCATGCATGTGGTACACAGACATACAAATAGACAATACATCCATATACATAAAAAAAAACCTAGAAAAAAGAGAAAACATGAACACACAAGATGCTGGGTATTCAAACTCAGGTCCTCAGGCTTGTGCTGCTCACCAGGGAGCTGTCAGGACAGGAAGCACGGGGTACTCAGCAAATCTCTCCGTTGTCCTTTCAGTTGAGCTTGAACCTAAGATGACTATAAAAATGTCATCTAGCAAAACAGTGGCAAAAACTGGGGAAATAAAGGGTGATGTTTCACAAGAGCAAAAAGGGGCAACTTGTGGGAAAGTTGCAACAATTCTAAGTTTATGTAAACAGCAAGAAAGGGAAACTTGAGAGCTTGCCCTGGCTTCCAGAGGTCCCTGGTTTGGTTCCGGGCATCCACATCACAGAGCTCACAAGGCTTAACTGCTTCTTATTCCAGCTCCAAGGAATCCACCGCCCTCTTCTGGCCACTTCTGGCACTTGCACACATACAGGTAAATAAAAATTAAGTCTAAAGAAGAAAAAAAAAAGCATAACTTGCTAGAAATGAGTATCAGATATAGGCTATTAGAAAATATCCATCTATAAAAAAGTGTACAAGACTATTTAGAGCCCCTAAGGAGTGCATGCAACCCAACAGGTTCACAGACAAAATGTGGTATATGTACACAATGGAATAACACTCAGCCATCAAGAAGAACGAAACTGTGATACATATGACAACATGGCCAAATCCTGCAAACATGCTACACAACAAAAATGCCACCCACTGCGTTATTCCATACATGAAATGTCCAGCATGGGAAAATCCAAAGGCAGAAAATGCAGTCATGGTTGTCAGAGGCTGAGAGGGAGAATGGGAATGGCTGCTATATGAGTCATATAATGGGTCATTACAAAATGATAAGTCTTACAATATCTCAAAATATTTAAGCTATATATATTTAAAACAGTGTTAGGGGTCTGGGGAGGTGGCTCATGTAATTCTGGCTGGACTGGAACTCACTGCATAGACCCGGCTGGCCTCAAGCTCACAGAGATCCACCTGCCTCTGCCTCCTGAATGCCGGGATTAAAGGCCACACCCAGCTAATAGATTTCTTTTCTGTTGTCTGGATATGTGGTAGCTCATCCACTCACTTGCCTACTAAAGGGCACCCGAAATGCTCCTGGGCTCTGATAATTATGAATAAAAGCTGTTATAAGCATCCACACAATTTTCGTCTTCGGCCCATGCAGGAGCATGATTGTTTCATTTTATAATAAAAATATAATTAGTTTTGTAAGAAGCTGTCAAGCCGACTTTCGGGTTTCACAAGCTGCTTTGCATGACTGTTGGCTGTGGATGAGAGTTCTTGTTCTCTTCTTTGGTGGCATTTGGTGTTGGTCTTGGCCATGCTGACAGGTGTGTGGTGGCTTCCTGTTTTAACTTCCATTTCCCCACTGGCATATGATGTGAAGCATGTGTTCATGGATGACTTACCACCTGTGCGTCCTCTTTAATGGGATGCCTATGAAGAACTCAGGCTCATTTTAAAATAAGGTTGTTTTCATATTGTTATCCTAATAGTTCTTCATACACTTTGGACCGCAGTCCTGGTATTCAGTTAGTGTTTGCAAACAGTTTCTCCAGGTTTATGTACAACCTTCTGGTACAACCTTGCCATGGGGATTTATTCGTTCTAGGAGTTTCTTTGTTGGTTATATGGGGTTTTCTACATCAACCCTCAGGCCGCCTGTAAACAAAGTGATTTATTCCTAATCTATATACCTCTCATTTATTTTCCTTATTTAATTAGCTAGGAGGACTCCCAGTATGAAGTTGAAGGGTAACGGTGGGAGGGAACATCCTTGTTTTGTTTCCCCCTTAGGAAAGTCTCTGGTTTCTAAATGTTGAGTAAAATATGTGCTGTTTTTTGTTATTATACTTTCTCAAGCTGTGTAAGTTTCCTACTTCCAGTTTACTGAAAAAAAATCTCTTCCTTCTGATTAGTGATTGCTCAGTACACCTTCAGTTTTAATCTATTTGCATTCTTACAGCTCAGGTGTCCACACAGTGGACATGCAATATTTGAATCGTTAAAGAAAAATTAGGTCATTTAAAAATATGATTTACTACATTATGTCTAAAGTATTCGGCATAAGTGTCCCTTTTGATCTTATTACTTTGCTGTGCAGTTTTTGAGACAGTGCCTTAGTCACTCCTCTTCCACTGGGAGAGGACACTCCTTAGAAACAGGTTCAGGGTGGAAGGACTTATTTTGGCTCATAGTTTGAAGGTACAGTTTGAAGGGCCAGTCCTTCATGGTGGGGAACGCATGGCAGACTTCTCAGTGGCTGAAGCATGTCGCTAGGACTCTGCACATCCTAGCACCCCAGGAAGCAGAGAGGGAGAATGCTGACACCCATCCAGCCTCTTTCCTCTTGTTTATTTTGGATCCTGTGTTGGTGGCACCCGTATTCACGGTGAGGCTTTCGTTCCTGGTTAACTTTTCCTACAAAAGGGAGGCCTCATGGATGCACCCGGAGGTGTGCCTTCTAGGTGATTCTAGAACTGGTCAAGTTGACAGGGAAGATGAACCATCACTCAGCATCTCGTAGCATTGCCCAGGCTGGCCTCAAACCTGCAATCCTCCTGCCCCAGCCTCCTGCTTGCTGGGATCACAATCTTACCCGACAGTACCTGGTTAAAATGGACCGTCTTCCAGTTTTTCTATTGGTTTGCCTTCCCTGAGATAAGGTGATCACTTCCCAGCTCAATTTTGTTTATTTTGGTAAATATAAAATATTAAAAAAAAATCATTTAGCCTCTGTAAGCCACTTCTTTTAGTGGTCACCTGATTTCAGCAAGTATCCCTGGCTGCCTGAGGTCTGCCATGTGAGCACTTGCACTGGCCTCTGGGCAAACAAAGCCCACACTGTCCTTC